AGAGCCAAAGATGTTAGAATTGTGTTGATGTCCCAATATTTCTGGACCTGACTGTATGTATTTTTCACCTAGTCCAGGACTCCAATTTTTAAATTACTTTTTAATTATTTACTAACCATATTCACATAAGGCCCTCTAAGTGGGCCTTACAAATCCTTATGATTGTATTACTTCTGGATTTTTGTTTGTTTTAGAATTAGTATTTCATTAAATAGTCACTTAATTGCCCTGTGATTACATTCATATAATCATGGCAAGTGGCCCAGAATGCTGTTTCTGTTATTACTCTTTATCTTTTATGACAATTTAAAACAAAGAAACAAACTTCTGCACATCAGTTTCTTTACAGTTTTAAACAGTATTAAAATATGTGTAACGAATTAATAAAACTTTGTTATAATCACAACTCAGCAATATTACACATAAGATATATAGAACTCAAAAAGAGTGCTTATACAGTATCATGTCTACATATATCCAAATTCACTAATTTTGTAGGAATGTTATGAACAATCCACTGTTATCTCAGACAGGGCTTTACCTTCTACTGCACAGAATTTGGCTACGTGTGCAATGCACATGTACGTATGTCTGTAATGGTAGTGCTAGGCTGCCTGTTTAACAGCAGGGGGGAGACATTGTAATTGACTGGACAACAATTACTAGAGACAGCAATTGTTAAGACACATCTAGCTTCTTCAGCAGTGAGCATGCTTGCTCCTCCGAGGAAATCTTACTAAACAAACCTAGCAAGGCAGATGGCAGAATATTAAAGCAGGCCCAAGAGAAAGTTCTATGCTGTTTAGGCAGTTCTAAAGCTGTAAGATAGCTGGCTTGATACTGTTGTTCAGTTTCAAAGTCCTAACATCATTAACTACTAGAAGTAGACCAGTTTGCCATTCTACATCCATAGCTCATTGTTTTAAGACTCTCTCTACTTACTTGTATTTCCTTGGTAACAAAAGCTCTGATGAGACCATGTGACAGCAATTTGTCCAATGAGGGTTTTTCCATTGTGCCTCCTGTTTTATTTGATTGTTAAGGGGATCAAGCCCGTTGGGCAAAATTTTAGCTTTAGCCAGAAACTGAAAATTACCAGCCATGCTTGAATCTCTACCCTAGGTAGATCTCCTTCTACTCACAAATTTGTACTTGTCATACATCAGGGAATCAAAAGTTTTTGCTGACCTGACTCCAGTTGGAATATAGGCCAAACTGTGCTTTATAGAAAGCTATGTACAATAAAGAACATGTAAAATCAATATTCCAAAAACATATTTTAAATCGATTTATATGTCAAGTTGTTTTTATGGACAAAAAACAAAGGTTCCCTGGCAACTCCCCCCTCCCTTCCAACTTTTCTAAAGCACCTCCCCATTTTGATCAGCTTGAGTAAATTTGGAAACCATTCAAACTTTCTCATTTAGGCTGGCCTTTGAAGGTATATCACTATTGTTTGCTTTATCTATCTTTATCCTAGGACTGTTGGATTTGCAAGCAAATCAGAAGCTAAGTAAATAATCTAGCCATTAAATTCAACATTTTGAGGACTTGGCACTGAATATGTTTGAGTGAAATCATTAATGCACTGTCTGTCTGTATTTAGGTGCCAAAAGGTTTGCCTTACTTCTCTGTAGACTTTGGCCTCCAAGATGGTTTTGCTCATGTCATTGAAGATCAGTACAAGTTCCCCTTTTACTTTGGAAAGGTATTAAAATATTCAGCTTCTGTTCCATAAGAGTTTCCTGTGTATTTTCTTAAGATGTTTGCTGTATATATTGGCCACGTGAACGCCCAGAGTCACCCGTTGGGGGAGATGGGCGGCATACAAGTTTGATAATCAATCAATCAATCAATCAATCAAGCTTGAGAATAACCTGTAGATAAAAACATTGTTTCTTGTATCTGTGATTTAATTGGTTGTTAAAGCAATTAAGCAAAGTTCTCACCATGCAAAATGAAAACTGTCAATATATATTTCCTTAAAGGAAATTACTAGTAGGATTTTTTTTAAAAAAACTAATATATTCTGTGTCTAAAAGTCTCAATAACAGGTTTATGGAATAACTCCAGATATGTTACATAGTTCTGCAGGTGATGGACTGGGAATTATTTTAGTTCAAATCTATATTCCACCCCCAGCCCCCCCGTGGCCTTTGGGAGATCTAGCTTGCATAAAACATTTTAATGTGGTAGCTAGGTAGATGACTCATCTCTTCTTAAAATGCAAAGCTAGAATGATTTTTTTCTCCTGCTTGACACTCTTTGTTTGAACAGGTGTGGGTTTTTCTGGTTAATTTAAGAAAATAATATTCTTTCCTATTTTGAAAGGAAATAATTGGTGGCATGCTAGATTTGGAGCCACGGCTTTGGAGAAAAGGACGACGAGAAAATTTTGAAGACCAGAGAAAGAAAGTGTTGCATTTTGCTCAGAAATGGAAACTGTATGACTTTACTAAAAGTAAAGAGTGAAAATATACAGCAGATGCTGATATATATTCAATCACTGGAAAGCTAATGAACCATCACAAACTATAACATTCTTTTTATAGAAGAACTCATGTTGAAAATAATAAAGATGTTTTCCACAGTGAACACTGAGTGGCAAAGTAGTATTTTAGGGAAGAGAAAAAATGGATTGAAGCTAAGATATTTGGGTTATGTACAGATCATGTTCAGATATACAATATGTAGATATGTGTTTGAAGAAAATGTGAAGTCCTTAATTTGATGGATTATGAGTGTGTTTTGTTAGCAATATTCCTGCCTTGTATTCTTTAATATTTTCCTGTTTTACATTGTATATAGTCCTAGCTTGTCTTGGCAGATAACAACGTAGTAAAGGATTTTTTAAACACTCAAAATGGTGACCTTTTTAATGCTGTACATTTAAAGTTTTAAAAAATATTCTGTTTAAATGTTGACAATTTGGGGAGATTTGGTCTGAGGCACAGTATTGCAGTTTAAAAGAAAACTGAAGTAATGTAAATTCTGCTGGAAATAATGGAGTTACTTTTGAATAAATATGTACTAACATTTAAACACAAAGGAAGACAATATTTCTAAAGCGTTGTTTCTTAAGGAAAAGTCAAGATTACGAAAGACTTATCTCTGCACTATAGAATATTTGCTGAGAATTTTGATCCCTATTTTTTCTTTAGTAAAGAAGGGGGTAATTGTTAAAGATACCTTCTTCTCCCCTTAATCATTTACAGACTGTCAGAAAGATAGTAAAACAGGTAGGGATATTTTCTAAATTCAGAAATAACCACTTCCAAAATGTTGTGAAGAAAAGTGCAGGGACACAAACCTAAAATGAAACTGAACCCCTAGAGAAATGCAGTATTTTAGGACAGAAAAAAACAAAAAACAACAAAACTTCCATATAAAGAATTCCCTTTGAACTATGTGGTATATATTTTCCCTGGTAACCTTTGCTTTCCTCTGGGAACTAAAGTTATAAGGAGAAATAGCTTGAGATCCCTTTTGAATGTGGATGGTGAAAGTACGACTGCTTAGAAAATGTATTTCCTTATTTACCCCCCCCTTTTTTTTTGCTGATACGACACACAACTAGACTATTAAAACAATTTTAAATTGTGACTACTTAAGAAACATCAGCTGCAATCTTGAACTGCCCAGCCACATGCTTTGAAGGGTCTTAATCTAATGTAATCTAATTTTGTGCCTACAGTCCTATTTAACTAAATAGGTGTACATACAGAAATTTGGGTGAACTTTTCATCTATAAACCATAATTATGTGTGCCATGTTTTATAAAAAGGAAATCAATAGAGGGTAAAGTCTTCATTAGATACTTACAGTAAGTCCCAGAATTTTCAATGCCAGTATTGCTAAGATATAAACTCACCTTTTTCTCTACTCTGCCTGAACAATCTGACTCTCCAGAAAGCTGTGAAATGCAAAGCCTGATCTCTGTCACATGTGCCCCAAGCTTTTCTTCCTGTTCTCTCTGGGAAGAAAAAAGGTGAGGTTTTGGCTTAGCTGTAATGTATACAGGAGTTGAAGAACTGGTTCTCGTGAATTGGAACCTACTGGCTAAATAACAGCCCTGAACACTGGGAAGCATCATTTGTGACAAGGGCTACAAGCACAGGTAGTCCTTGGGCTACAATGGCAATTGGGGCCAGGATTGCCATCGCTAACCGATGCGGTCATAAAGTACAACCTCATGTGATTTCATTGCTTAGTGATAGCAATCCTGGGTAATCCCAGTTGCCATCATAACCCCAAGACATGCGGGTCTAAGCCGAAAAGGTGGGATTCCCAGGTAAGGAGCATGTGGGAGGGCCAGGGCAGGCCATGCACAAGGCCAAGAGAGGGCTGGGGCAGGCCACACGAGTGGCAGGAGAGCCTGGGAGGGCTAGCAGAGGCTGTGCACAGGTGGGGAGGTGTTGCAGGTGGGAGAAAAAGCAGGAATGACTTACTTGAGTGACTTGCAGCCTTCCTTGGCAATTTTCCCACTGACTTTGCTTGTGGGAAGTCGGCAGGAAAAGTCACAAATGGCGATCACATGACTGTGGCTCCCTGCCATGTCGTAGCTGTGAGCTGGGCATCCAAGTGCCCAGATCGTGATCATGAGCCCAATCACAGTGCTGTGATGGCTGAAACCTTGAGGACCAGTTGTATGTCCATTTTTTCAGTGTTGTAACCTTGAACAGTCGCTGAACTAATGGATGTAAGCCAATGACTATCCGTAGCCCCCAAAGCCTTAGGTATGGCTTTTCTAAATGTGACTGCCTTGGAAAGATCATGTTTAGGTTTTGCTCTGGCCCTCTCTGGGGAATGACTAAGTGTGGCTTAAGAAAGTTTTATACCCCTCCTGTAAAGGGAAGGGCTTGAATTAGCCAACTGGGTGTTGTAAACCAACATAAATGATGTTATATCTGTGGTTAATGGTGTCCTGTCCAGTGGCCAGATTAAAGTTTCAGGCAGTGGAATGAGTAAGTGAAAACCAAGAAAGGAACTCAGATGGCCCAGAATTCATGAATTGCTTCCTATTGTGACAGAAATCAAATATAGGGAATGAAATAAACATAAGCTGAGATGGGGACTTTGTAATAGTGATATTATAGGGAAGCGCCCATTATAGCTAATCCTGTACAGTGGTACCTCGGTTCACGAACTTAATGCATTCCACGATTCTGGTCGCAACCCGAATTGGTCGCGAACCGAATCAAACTTCCCCATAAGGTTCAATGTAAATAAGGTTAATCCGTTCTGAACCATATGTATTTTTTTTT